TGTGTGTGTGTGCAGTGTTACTGTGCGTTCACACCGCCGCCGGCGAGAGCGTCAAAGTTGCTGGAAGTCATTCATTTTCAATGAGCGGCGAGCTCCGGCGAGGGCGACGCGGCGCGTCTTGGACGGTGAGAGCGGCGAGGAGAGTTGAAGTCAGGTCAACTTTATGGTAATAAGCAATGACGCGGTTCGGCGGCAACCAATCGGAATGTAGAAGTGCTCCGTTTGAGAGAATTCCAGAGAACGCAGTCCTGTAAACTTGGGTTCCGACCACATTAGTTCCCAAGCAAAATAGAGGAGGTTGATCATTTGAATTTGATAAGAAGAGCGCGCAACACTATTTATAGGCAAGATTTTCGTGCTAGAACTCTTACAGCGGGAATGCAAATTATAATAGCACTTAACCATGATGAACACAAAAGCCACACCACACAAATGGCTTTTAATTTGTTTATTTCATTAGCAAACATGTCACTATAATTGTTAAGTTCTTTCCATCGATCAATTTTCTGCAAAAATAACGATCGACATGCTTGTTTGCTTTGCGGCCCCTTTAAATACAGTTTTAAAAAAGACCACGCATTCAATCTCCGTCAGAGCATCAGAGCGCCCGCGAATCTTTCCACGGCGTCGCAGGGCGGCGGTGTAAGCGTACGGTTTGAGCTGCGCAATAATGAGAAACGGTCTGAAAAGAAGTGAAATAAGATTCAATTGTCTTGTTCATCCAAACTCCGAAGCAACAAGTGTTTGATCCTTCTGAACGCCGCTAGACGGAGGAACACTCTCACACACTTCAGATGCTGGTCTGGTCTCACACACACACATGAGTTCATGTGGCAGCAACAACATCTGGATTCCAGCGACTGATTGAGGTTCATTATTTAAAAGCATCTCCACAGCTGATTATCAGCACTGGTGCCTCACATCGCTGTATAAACTACAGTCTGCGGCTCAGACTTCAGCACGGGGATCGCTAGCGTGATGACGACACTTCCACCCAGGACAGTGTCAGATGCTGTGTAATGCTGAGGGTTAGCGTTAGCGAACCCTAGCGTGATGATGACGACACTTCCACCCAGGACAGTGTCAGATGCTGTGTAAAGCTGAGGGTTAGGGTTAGCGAACCCTAGCGTGATGATGACGACACTTCCACCCAGGACAGTGTCAGATGCTGTGTAAAGCTGAGGGTTAGCGTTAGCGAACGCTAGCGTGATGACGACACTTCCACCCAGGACAGTGTCAGATGCTGTGTAAAGCTGAGGGTTAGCGTTAGCGAACGCTAGCGTGATGACGACACTTCCACCCAGGACAGTGTCAGATGCTGTGTAAAGCTGAGGGTTAGCGTTAGCCAACGCTAGCGTGATGACGACACTTCCACCCAGGACAGTGTCAGATGCTGTGTAATGCTGAGGGTTAGCGTTAGCGAACCCTAGCGTGATGATGACGACACTTCCACCCAGGACAGTGTCAGATGCTGTGTAATGCTGAGGGTTAGCGTTAGCGAACGCTAGCGTGATGACGACACTTCCACCCAGGACAGTGTCAGATGCTGTGTAATGCTGAGGGTTAGCGTTAGCGAACCCTAGCGTGATGATGACGACACTTCCACCCAGGACAGTGTCAGATGCTGTGTAATGCTGAGGGTTAGCGTTAGCGAACCCTAGCGTGATGATGACGACACTTCCACCCAGGACAGTGTCAGATGCTGTGTAAAGCTGAGGGTTAGCGTTAGCGAACCCTAGCGTGATGATGACGACACTTCCACCCAGGACAGTGTCAGATGCTGTGTAAAGCTGAGGGTTAGCGTTAGCGAACCCTAGCGTGATGATGACGACACTTCCACCCAGGACAGTGTCAGATGCTGTGTAAAGCTGAGGGTTAGGGTTAGCGTTAGCGAACCCTAGCGTGATGATGACGACACTTCCACCCAGGACAGTGTCAGATGCTGTGTAAAGCTGAGGGTTAGCGTTAGCGAACGCTAGCGTGATGATGACGACACTTTCCACCCAGGACAGTGTCAGATGCTGTGTAAAGCTGAGGGTTAGCGTTAGCGAACCCTAGCGTGATGATGACGACACTTCCACCCAGGACAGTGTCAGATGCTGTGTAAAGCTGAGGGTTAGCGTTAGCGAACGCTAGCGTGATGATGACGACACTTTCCACCCAGGACAGTGTCAGATGCTGTGTAAAGCTGAGGGTTAGGGTTAGCGTTAGCGAACGCTAGCGTGATGATGACGACACTTCCACCCAGGACAGTGTCAGATGCTGTGTAAAGCTGAGGGTTAGGGTTAGCGTTAGCGAACGCTAGCGTGATGATGACGACACTTCCACCCAGGACAGTGTCAGATGCTGTGTAAAGCTGAGGGTTAGCGTCAGCGAACCCTAGCGTGATGATGACGACACTTCCACCCAGGACAGTGTCAGATGCTGTGTAAAGCTGAGGGTTAGCGTTAGCGAACCCTAGCGTGATGATGACGACACTTCCACCCAGGACAGTGTCAGATGCTGTGTAAAGCTGAGGGTTACCGTTAGCGAACCCTAGCGTGATGATGACGACACTTCCACCCAGGACAGTGTCAGATGCTGTGTAAAGCTGAGGGTTAGCGTCAGCGAACCCTAGCGTGATGATGACCACACTTCCACCCAGGACAGTGTCAGATGCTGTGTAAAGCTGAGGGTTAGGGTTAGCGTTAGCGAACGCTAGCGTGATGATGACGACACTTCCACCCAGGACAGTGTCAGATGCTGTGTAAAGCTGAGGGTTAGGGTTAGCGTTAGCGAACGCTAGCGTGATGATGACGACACTTCCACCCAGGACAGTGTCAGATGCTGTGTAAAGCTGAGGGTTAGCGTCAGCGAACCCTAGCGTGATGATGACGACACTTCCACCCAGGACAGTGTCAGATGCTGTGTAAAGCTGAGGGTTAGCGTTAGCGAACCCTAGCGTGATGATGACGACACTTCCACCCAGGACAGTGTCAGATGCTGTGTAAAGCTGAGGGTTAGCGTTAGCGAACCCTAGCGTGATGATGACGACACTTCCACCCAGGACAGTGTCAGATGCTGTGTAAAGCTGAGGGTTAGCGTTAGCGAACGCTAGCGTGATGATGACGACACTTTCCACCCAGGACAGTGTCAGATGCTGTGTAAAGCTGAGGGTTAGGGTTAGCGTTAGCGAACGCTAGCGTGATGATGACGACACTTCCACCCAGGACAGTGTCAGATGCTGTGTAAAGCTGAGGGTTAGCGTTAGCGAACCCTAGCGTGATGATGACGACACTTCCACCCAGGACAGTGTCAGATGCTGTGTAAAGCTGAGGGTTAGGGTTAGCGAACCCTAGCGTGATGATGACGACACTTCCACCCAGGACAGTGTCAGATGCTGTGTAAAGCTGAGGGTTAGCGTCAGCGAACCCTAGCGTGATGATGACGACACTTCCACCCAGGACAGTGTCAGATGCTGTGTAAAGCTGAGGGTTAGCGTTAGCGAACCCTAGCGTGATGATGACGACACTGTGTAGTGTTGAGTCTGTCTACAGTATATGCTCTGAGTTCAAGGCTTTTTGGTGGAGGTTTGATGGTTCTGTAGCAGATCTGAGGCGTGTGTGTGTGTGTGTGTGTGTGTGTGTGTGTTGATGCTGTTCTCACTGTTTGAACTTCTGCAGCAGTGTGCCGTCCGGCGAGCCCAACACCTCGTGGATCTTGTTGACCTGGTCGAGCTCGTTACGGCCAGGGAATAACGGGCTCAGGCTAGAAGACATGAAGCGGCCCGTTAGAGTATGATGACCACTCCAGACACACACGCGTACACACACACTTACACTCACACTTACACACACACACACACACACACACACTAGCAGTACCTGAGGATCTCGAAGAACACGCAGCCGGCGCTCCACACGTCCATCTTCTGAGAGTAGTGTCCGTCGGTCAGCAGACACTCGGGCGCTCGGTACCAGCGGGTCGAGATGTACTCGGTGTGAGGAGGCCTGGAGGAGTTGCTCCTGCAGGACCCGAAGTCTGCCAGCTTCAGAACCTCGTTCTGTCAGAACATCAGGGACAGTTTTCAGAACCTCGTCACACACACACTCTTACACTCATTCACACACACACACACACACGTGTTAATGAACGAGTTTAACCCTTGAACATCTCCAAGACGTTACACACCGTATGACTAGAAAATCAAATTCCAAATCACAGTCTTTGCTGTGCCAATTTAATTGATATAAGTAGTGTAGAACATTATATAGAAACTGTGTCTATTCCTCGTTTAGTGAGGCCAAATAATAAATCCACTGTAGGATCTAGGAAAAATCTTATTGTAATTAAACCTGAAAATCTAAATATCAGTGAGCAAAAACAATTTCTAAAACTAGGTCTTCTAAACATTAGATCGCTCACACCTAAGGCGGTTATTGTAAATGAAATGGTCACAGATAATAGCTTCGATGTACTTTGCCTTACTGAAACCTGGCTTAAACCAAACGAGTATTTCGGTCTAAATGAGTCTACTCCGCCAGGATACTGTTATAAACATGAGCCCCGTCTGATCGGTCGTGGCGGCGGTGTTGCAACAATCTATAGAGATATTATTAATGTTACTCAGAAAACAGGTCACAGGTTTAATTCGTTTGAAGTACTTGTGCTAAACGTTACGCTCTTAGATGTAAGAAAGAAATCCCTATTATCTCTAGCCTTGGCTACTGTATATAGACCTCCAGGGCCCTACACTGATTTCCTAAAAGAGTTTGCAGACTTTCTCTCAGATCTATTGGTCAATGCCGATAAAGCAATAATTGTTGGAGATTTTAACATACACGTAGATAACACAAACGATGCGTTAGGGGCTGCGTTTACAGATTTATTAAACTCCTTTGGGGTCAAGCAGAATGTCAGTGGTCCCACTCATCGTCTAAATCATACACTAGATTTAATTATATCATACGGAACCAATCTAACCGATATAGATATTATACCGCAAAGTGACGATCTCACCGATCATCACATGGTAACTTGTATAATACGCACTGCTGAAATTTGTCATGTTGCGCCACGTTATAGACCAGGCAGAACAATCCTTCCGATCACTATAGATAGATTTTCAAATAGCTTACCTGATCTATCTCAGCTGCTCAGAGAACCCAAACAAACAGATGAACTAGAGGAAATGACCAGCAGTTTGAGCACCATTTTCTCTAGTACATTAGATATTGTTGCACCAATTAGATCAAAAAAGGTTAGAGAGAAAACTAAAGCACCCTGGTACAACAGTGCTACGCATGCTATCAAGAGAGAAACTCGTAACCTAGAGCGTAAATGGAAACAAACTAATTTAGAGGTCTTTAGAATCGCGTGGAAAGACAGTATGTCACGTTATAAAAAAGCTCTAAAAGCAGCCAGGGCTGAGCATCTCCGCAAACTAATAGAAAATAACCAAAATAATCCAAGGTTTTTATTTAACACCGTGGCTAGACTAACAAATAAACAGACATCACGCGAGCAAATTATTCCGTTACAGTATAGCTGTAATGATTTTATGAACTACTTCAATGAGAAAATTGAAAACATCCGAAACACAATTGTAAATGTACAATCCTCTATGGTGTCTTATGATTCAGCCTCAATTATCGCCCCTCAAGAACAACTACACCGCTTTACAACTATAGGACAGGAAGAGCTAAATAAACTTATCATTGCATCTAAACCAACAACATGTTTATTAGATCCAATACCAACTAAATTTCTGAAAGAAGTGTTACCTGTAGTGGAAGAGCCTCTTCTCAATATTATTAACTCGTCTTTATCTTTAGGTCATGTTCCAAAAATATTCAAGCTGGCAGTTATAAAACCTCTCATTAAGAAACCGCAATTAGATCCAAATAACTTAGCAAATTACAGACCCATTTCAAATCTTCCATTTATGTCTAAAATACTAGAAAAGACTGTGTCCGCTCAATTGTGCTCTTTCATGCAAGAAAATGAGATATATGAAAAATTTCAGTCAGGATTCAGACCGCATCATAGCACAGAAACTGCGCTAGTTAAAATGACAAATTATTTACTTTTAGCTTCTGACCAAGGCTGTATCTCAATATTAGTTCTACTCGATCTTAGTGCTGCGTTTGACACTATCGATCATAAAATACTCTTGGATCGACTACAAATCTACACTGGTGTTCAGGGACAGGCATTAAGCTGGTTCAGATCGTATTTATCAGACCGTTACCATTTTGTTTGTTTAAATGGGGAAAAATCGAAGATAACGTCAGTAGACTATGGAGTGCCGCAGGGATCGGTGTTAGGCCCTCTGCTATTCTCAATATATATGCTGCCACTTGGTAATATTATAAGAAAACATGGAATTAATTTCCACTGTTATGCTGATGACACTCAATTATATATTTCATCACGGCCAGATGAAAACACTAACTCATCAAAATTGACAGAGTGTCTTAAAGATATAAAATGCTGGATGACGCATAATTTCCTGCTACTAAATCCAGATAAAACGGAGGTATTACTTGTTGGTCCAAAAAACTATCCACAAAACCACTTACAATACAACTTTAATATAGAAGGATGTCCTGTTACTTTATCCTCTACGGTAAAAGACCTGGGAGTTATACTAGACCACAACTTGTCTTTCGAAAATCATATTTCATATGTTACAAGAACAGCCTTTTTCCATCTTAGAAACATTGCTAAATTACATAACATGCTATCTGTTTCTGATGCAGAAAAGTTAGTTCATGCATTCATGACCTCGAGACTAGATTACTGTAATGCTTTATTAGCCGGTTGTCCTGCATCCTCAATAAACAAGCTACAGTTAGTGCAAAATGCAGCCGCTAGAGTTCTTACTAGATCAAGAAAATATGATCATATAACACCGATTTTATCATCTCTGCACTGGTTACCTATCAAGTTCCGTATCAATTACAAAGTACTACTACTGACCTATAAAGCCCTAAATAGCTCCTGTGTATTTAATGGACCTTCTATCGCCCTACAATCCATCGCGTTCTTTAAGATCACTAAATTCGAGGCTTCTAGTCATTCCTAGGATATCTAAGTCCACTAAAGGAGGGAGGGCGTTCTCACATTTAGCTCCTAAACTCTGGAATAGCCTTCCTGATATTGTTCGAGGCTCTGACTCGCTGTCCCAGTTTAAAACTAGATTAAAGACGCATCTTTTTAGCCAAGCATTTACATAATGCTTACCTTTTATAATACTGCTGAATCAGATCAAATGCATTTAATATTATAAAACTTGAAGAGACTGTAGGTTATCTGTATAGGTTGCATAGTATTTGCAGTCATTACGTTCCTGTGTATATTGCGTGAATGACGGGTGGTTGGGCAGATATTGTGTTGCGGTAGGTAGTATGCCATACGGAACCGTTGTCCACTGAAACTGCCTATTCACGCACCAGTGGGGCTCGACAGCCTTAGTCAACGGGTTGGCGCGTATGGTTGGGCTGCGGAGAGATTGTGAGA